TTTTTTTATCAGTGATGATTTGCATAGTTAGGGATAAAGGTCCTATTTGATCCGAATTCCATCCGTTCCTGGACGGAGACTGGACGCACTAAATCAAAGGACTCAGTGAAGGTTTCTGATCTCTGTTATTCTAGAAAATTCAGTTTCAAGTAAAATTAATTGACGTTCTGACAGCTTGAACTCTGCGAGTCCCATAGGTATACGGGCCGAGGGGGGCTGCGGAGCCTGCAGCCCCCCAAAATTTGGGCAAGTCAGTTTTTTTTGGACAACAAGAGAAATTTTGGCAACGGGTTTTTAAAATGTTTTGATTTATTTCGAGAAATTACAATGCCACTAACAAAGAAAGAATAACAATACTTCCATCAATATACCATAAGGTGAGATTCAATACTCAAAAGTATTGCGAGTCGGCATTCTCTGAACACCCGTATTTTTTCGTGTCTCACATTGTCACTGGACAAAAGCTTTATTTTTGTAAGAATCCGGAATTATTTTCATTTTCAATGCCCAATTTTTTAAGCATTAGCACTTACTATGCGTCCCTCAACAAGGTGCTGTCAGAGCTTGAGGTTAGGTTCAGTGGAAATGACCAAGAAATACTCTGTGCTTTGGAAGATATGTGTCACAGGAAGACGCCTGATATAGAGCCTTCCCTCGCATCGCTAAATTTTACGAAATCGAAGGCGAAATTCTGGAAGCCGAGCAGAAAATGTGCACGAGTTTTCGCCGTGAGCGCGGGTTCCATTCACGACTGTTTCAGAAATATTCCAGACAATGCATGAAAACGAACTACTTGATATGTTGCCAGAGTTTTCCAATGTGGTAAATATTCTTGTAGTGATACTTGCTGCATCGTGTTCTGCAGAGCTCGGATCATTCAGTGCGTTGCGCAGAATAAAAACCTACCTCCGCAACAACATATGGGGCTACAGCGTGTCAGTAACATCTGCACTGATCAACACTGAAAGGAATATGCCAACTCTGTACTAAACAATGACATGGATCGTATTATTGATAAATTCGGGCGTCGCAATGACACAAGGATCAAAAATAGTTCGGTAAGGCTTGAAAAATAGAATTTGCCCTACTGTTGCATATAAGTAGGCCTTAGTAAATGTAAAAACGCTATGTAGTTTGTTTCTTCAAATGTGTTGGTATTTCCGAGAAAAAGGACATTATCGGTTTCACGTCCAGACATCAATCTAACGAGTTCTAACTGGG